CAGGGCTGTTTTGTACATCTATATCAGCTCTGACTTAGTCTTCACATTCTTTCTCATCAAAAATTGGCATTAGAAAAAGCAGATCAGCTAGGCATTATGGAATATATATTTTAAGTTAACTGCTGCTCCAAAGCAGTCAGGATTTCTCTTGATGCTGCTAAACTCATAATCGTGTGACATGCTTAGTCAGCATCATGCTGCCTGCCTTCATGGCTCACTTTGCCAGATGTAATGTCTCCCTGGCTACATCCATCAAAATTTTTGCATCTACTGCCATTGGGTTTGACCTGCATGTTAGGTTAGGTTGTAACCCAGAAATAAATGAGCACCTGACTCAGAGTGAAATAAATATTGCTGCTGGTTCCCCATTGACTCTATGCCTTCATTGACCAGGAAAAGTTTATAACCATTTCACCTCCAAGGAGTAGGGTTGTTGTGAAGGCTCCATGGAGGTTAAATATACCAATTAGGCTCAATTTAATAGAGGTTAGACTTAAATCTACTGATTCCCCATTACTTCCTTCATATAGTAGGAGACCTGGAAGATCATAGCTGCTATTTCCAGAGGAAAGGCCAGCAATTTCTCTGATAGGTGGTAGTGGTTGTTTTAAATCCTCTCATGTGGTGAGGAGCTAAGCAGGATCTGGAGAGGCTGGAAGCACCATGTGCTGCAGCCACATTCTTATGCTCCTGTTGGCTTCCCATTAATCAGCCTTCCTTCATCATGGGAGCAATCTGAAACTAATTGTGTGATTTTAGTGGAAAAGAAAGACGAGTAGGCCCTAGCCCCATACCAGCAATCTAGGCACAAAGCATTTCCCATGTGGACTGGCACAGTGAGTAAAAATCATCAGAATGAGAATATATTTTTGCTGGTAACTTTCCTCTGTGTATCTTTTCACAGAGATATAATGTGGAAAGGGGCTTGTTTAGGAAAGAACTCAGATATTCAAGGCTTCCCTTTAAAACTCCTTCTTACCCTTTTGTAGCATCCTGGTTTCAGAATAATTGACTGCCATATTCTCCAGTCTCCTAGTAATTATCATTTTTCCTTTTTGTTTTGATAATTGAATTATCATCTTTCCTTCTGCACCCTGCTCTATATCCTGGTCACATGAATCGATCTGGGCCCTTGATCCTCTATTCCTTTATTAATGCAGGTCACTTATGTCCTTTTTGCCAAACTGAATGACCCTTTAACCAAGTGACTGCTCCATCCCTGCCTGTAAGACACCTTTGATCATCAGGCTTGACGGTGCATGTGACGGGACCAGCCATTTCATTTTGTAGACTTCTCTCTTAACCTAGGATCCACCAATGGACACCAAATCTCGCTCCTGTAAGGTTGCACATGCCTCTACCTGACACTTCTTGTGCTCCTTTCTCTCTCTCTCTGGGTGTGTGTGTGTGTGTGTGTGTGTGTGTGTGTGTGTGTTTTCCTGTGTAGTTTGTGCTACTGTGTACCTCAATTCTGTGAAAATCATAGTGGAAGAATTAAGCCTTTTGGGCCAAACAGAATAGAAGTTCTAGTACATTTATACCATTTTAATGTTGAACGTTATTAAACATTTCTTACCAGAAGTCTCTATTTCTCTAAAACCTGGGTCATTAACCTTATTTGGTGGCTTTTGGGCATTAAATTAGCTAATGTGCATATATCAAGTGAATATAAATGCCAGCCTTTAATCTGTCTTTGAAGTTACCCCCTTCTCTTCCCTCCCTTGCCTCCTCCCTCTTTCTCTGCCTGTGTTCTTTCCTTTCTTTCAACAAAAGTTACTGAGAGCCAGGCCCTGTGCCACAAAACAAGAACACACTTCAAATAATTCATTCTAATATTAGAGACAGACACACATAGCAGTAACTTTAATCTACTCAGTAAAGCTCATAAAAAAGGAGGAGGCCATGCCCAGCAAGGCTGAATTTTCTCACCACCAGATAGGCAGCAACTCCTCTCCAGCGGACAAGGAATACAAGGAATCTGCTTAGGGTCTGCTGCTGAGTGTCCCCTCAAGTAGGTATTTGATTATGCCTAAATTGTCTGTTAGTATCACTTAAAAGACTGCTCAATTTCTTTCCCTCAACGAATATTGTCACATGTCCTGTGTGTCCTCTAAAGATTAATGACTAATTTTTTTTTAATTCTGCCTACCATATATATAAAACCCTTTATGACATGTTCATTGGTTTTAGACAGTCTATTGGTTTTAGCCAATGAACATGCTTCACTATGCTCCTCAGGCCAATGAAGATCTCTTTACAGGCTACAAAAGTGACTTACAGTGAAATCTTATCATCTGAGCTCTCTGGAAAGAAGAACAATATATAAGTGTGAATGTCAGATTATCTTTTACATATTTTTATTTTCAAGCTCTTCAGAGATGTGATTAAGAGAAGTTGATCCATCTCTTACTTTCCTTTAAATAAGAAAGGTAACACGCAATGCGACTTGATCTTTGATCAAAATACGAAGTTCCATGAGGTGCCGTGGCTCCCACCTCTAATCCCAGCACTTTGGGAAGCTGAGGTGGGTGGATCACTTGAGCCCAGGAGTTCAAGACCAGCCTGGGCAACATGGTAAAACCCGCCTCTGCAAAAAATATAAAAATCAGTTGGGCGTGATGGGCATGCTTGTGGCCCTAACTACTTCGGAAGCTGAGGTGGGAGGATCATTTGAAACCGGGAGATCAAGGCTTCAGTGAGCCAACTGTGCCATATGTACACACACACACACACACACACAAACACACAAATACACACGTTCCTTTGAACATGGACGAGAAGAGAGTTGACAACTTACGTGCAAAGCTAATCTGGAAAATTGAGAGGAACTTGCTCCCCTTTTTTTAAAACTCAGTAACAGAGTTGATTTCCAGTTTTAGCTGGAGAGTTGTTTCATGTTTCAATTTGATCACCTTAAAGATGCAGTTGGTGGTAGTGATTAAGGCATATTCAGAAAAGAGGTCGTGAATTTGTTATTGTGCTCCAGAATGGAAGCTCCTCACCAGATCCCAATTCAATTGATGTCAAGACCATCAGGTTACTCACCTTTCCCAGCATTTCCTCCTGGAATAAATGAGCTTCCTTAGCTCTCCTGGCTTATGGCTCAGAGGTTTCTTTACATCATTTTCTCAAACAACAGATGATGATGTAATCTGTGGATATGATTGGTGTTATAAAGTTTCTTAGAGGGAAAGTGCTTTCAATTCTTTGTGGAAAGATCTGCCTTTAGGGGAAAAATTGTGGTAATTGTTTGTGGTTAATAGAGTACTTCCCACTCAAAATTACAGGGTGAGGGGAAAGCTTGATTCACTTAAGAAAGCCAGTAAGTTTTAGAATGGATTTTTGCCAAATGGTAATAATTTTAACAAGTGCCTTCATAAAAACACAATGTTTGGCTATCATTGTAGCTTGATGAGGCAGTTAGAGCAAGAATTATCATTCCAAACGAGACAACTGGGCTTCCGCAGGGAGGAAGTAGTTTTCTTAATGTCTCCTAGGTAGCATGTCGCATCGGGATCCAAAATTACCTGTGCTAACTTTGAATGTCCTGCTTTTCTTTAAAATCCCATTACTTCCTCAGCTGAAGTAGGCAAGTCTCTGCACTTCGTCTTTACAAGATAACCATCACATAATCTAAATTCAATTCTCTATTCCTTGATTTATCCTTTCTAAAATTAATTTATATATTTACGAAGCAGCAAAATTAGCTTAGGCAAAAAAAGTACATTTGAGAAAATACAAACCACTAAGGAAATACTATCATGGAGTACTATCTTTACATTAAGTGGTGCTCCAGGTTCCTGAGACAGCTCTGTTACAGAGAAAGCACCCACTGAAAGGTTGTTCTATGATGTGATGAAGGGAAAGCACCATAAATCTATCTAGATATTATGCCTGGAAAGAGAAGTGTGGAGTCAGTGCTACATGATGCAGGAAGAGAAGCACGAAGGAAGTAAGGAATGGCAGTCTTCTATCGTGATAACTATATTCAAAATGTTATTTAAACAATCGCAATTTTTATGAATCAAAGAATTCAGTTGCATGCACTGCCCTAAACAAAAATGGCTACTAACGAGAACTGGGAAGATTAGTGGCAAAGAGGCCCCTAAATGGTACAGGCCGCTTCCTAGGAAATAAATCACTCAAAATGACTTATTATGTAGCTCCAGTGTGTAATATTAAGTAGAGGTTCTAAGACATTATGGTCAGAAGTACCTGAAGAATTTGTCAAAATTTCAGTGTATTATGCCTTCCTCCCAGGGGTTCTGACTCACCCGGTGGGACCCAGGGATTTGCATACTAATTTTCTAGGCTGTTCTGTTAGAAGTGGTCTAAAGACCACACTTATAGAATTTCTAGCACCTAGAATAGTCAAATTCACAGGGACAGAAAGCAGAATAATGGTTGCCAAGGGCTGGAAGAGGAAGGAATGTGAAATTCATGCGTAAGGGGTGTAGCGTTTCAGCCTAGGAAGACGAAAAATGGAAATGGATGCTAGTAGTGGGCTCATGACAATGTGAATATATTTAATGCTATTGAACTATATACTTTAGTTAAAATGCTAAACTTTCGGATATACATATATGTGTTACCAAAAATACTCCAAGAATTTCTAACACAAAAGGAGGCCATTCTTTAAAACTATTCATGTGTCTTTGCTTTCATATTGTGTTGATAAACAGAATAGATATCTCCAATTTAAAATGTCATAGTTTGTGCTCAATTGTGGATTACTATTGTATCACCATCATCATTTCTTTATGACAGAGCAAAAATAATGGACTAAATAAAAAGATTTGTGATACTTCATTTTTACTTTATTGAGAGAACATAGATTTATTGTATATCCATAGAGTGACCAAATTAATGGGAATTTAGAGCTACTCCATCTGCATTCTAATGACTGCTCCTCTAAATGCTTCTCCAAAATAGATTTATCTGACTTTGCCTTATCTTGTTTTTGTGACAAAAATATGTATTGATACTCATGCTCTTTTCAGGACAGGGTGTGGGCCAATGTGGGGAAGAGCCTGAACTGCATTATCGCTATGGTGGACAAACTGATTGAAAGAGATGGTGGCAGTGAAGGCAGTGGCGGCAACAATGATGGAGAAAAGGAACCTTCATTAGCAGACGCCATCCTCTCTCACCCAAGAGGTAGAAATCATTTTTTCCAATCATTTACTGAGTAAATAAAATGAGAAAGTCATGATAAAATGAGATAGAAAGAGAGGAGTAAATAGTATCTTTGATGAAAGTGCTGATAGCATGCTTTTCCACTGCTCTGGCTTGGATGATGGAAGGCCATTTATCAAATTGCATCTCAGTTGTGTTTTCAGAACCGCTTGCAATGTTCTTTTTTCTTCCTCTTCTTCTCTTACCACATAGAAACCTTGAAAAAAGAACAGTGTTTCTTCTTTTAAGGATTTGACATAGTATAATCTGCTTTTACACACATTTCTCTAAAATTTTATTAGAAAGATAAATAAGCATCTGCATTTGACTCTTAGAAACTTGGAGGCGTATCAAGGACACAGTATCTCACAGTGGTTTCTGAACAGAATATAATCAGATAGTACGATTTGTGCATTATTCTGAGAAATATTTGTGTAAATTATCTCCAAAACATATAGGAAGATTTGACTGTAAGAAATATATTAGCACATTGCTCTAAAAATATATGACAAATCTAGATTTTCATGAAAATATGCACACACATATACATGTGTATATATGTGAGTATATGTGTTTTTCTGTAGAGAGGGAGGGAGGAAGGAAGGGAGGTGGCAGACAGGTAGGTAGATAAGTAGGGAGGCAGGTAGGTAGATACTTTCAAATGTATGCATTGTTACAAGGTTAGCTAGAAAATACAAAAATTTTAACTATAGGTGTGTCCCTATAAATGGCTTTGAAATTTTCTTTTTGTTGATTTGATTAATGTTTGATTAATGTTACACAAAAACCAAGGCAGGCTGGGCGCTGTGGCTCACGCCTGTAATCCCAGCACTTTGGGAGGCCGAGGCAGGTGGATCATGAGGTCAAGAGATCGAGACCATCCTGGCCAACATGGTGAAACCCCGTCTCTAGTAAAAATACAAAAAAAGTAGCTGGGCGTGGTGGCGTGCACCTGTAGTCCCAGCTACTCCAGAGGCTGAGGCAGGAGAATTGCTTGAACCCAGGAGGCGGAGGTTGCAGTGAGCCGAGATTGTGCCACTGCACTCCAGCCTGGCGCCTGGTGACAGAGTGAGACTCTGTCTCAAAAAAAAAAAAAACAAAAATTCAAAAAAACCAAGGCAAATGTCTACATTTCTTTATGGCAGTAGGAACTGCAATTAGGATTGAGTCAGACTTTTTGCTGGATGTCTGAAGTGTTTGGAGAGAATAAGCAATGCTACCCTCCTCTCCTCTCCTGAAATCTGCTCTTTCTTTTACTTTAAGAACATGAGTCATAGGAAAATATGGACATTTATAAAATTAGATATACTTTTCCTCAATTTGTTTTCCTAATTTTTCATTACATTTTTGTCAGGAGTTTAATTATATAAAACATCAATCTTTCATCACTTGATTAATAGTAGAACCATTTCTAAATCACATTTGTAAGCTGTGTCTTTCTAAAGTATTCTTATTGCGGGTGGTTCCTCTTCCTCTGTCATACATTTATATAGTTGAAATGTTTATGCTAATGTTCTTGATGTTCACACCTACTTGATCTAACTGTATGTAAAGATTTTCTTTTTTAATAATACCATTTTTATTAGTTAATGTAGGGATCCTTTTTTAATAATACCAGTTTTTATTAGTTAATGAATCCAGGCTAGCTTCATAACTTTACATGAATCAGAATGAAAACTTGTCATAGCTATGCCATAAAGAAATAGCATACTTCAATTTTCTTTAATTGAACATATATTGATTATCAAGTATGGGCCAGACCCTGCTGTCCCCTGGAAAATGAGGTAAGAAGAATTCACTTTAGTGACTTACTATATCCATTGATAGATTTTTCAAGATAAATTATTTTTTAACAGAAATAAGACAAGGGACACTGGATTTTGCTACATTTTTTTGTTTAATGTTGCCAAAACTTCTCGCTGAAGACAATAAAATTCTGAAATATTTGAAATTATACAGTGTGTGTGTGTGTGTGTGTGTGTGTGTGTCTTGTATTTCATCAGAAGATTGCATATAGGCAATCAAAATGCATTTTAAATGGTAGAATATTTGGTAGATAAATCATCTGTAAGATTAGATGAATCATTTTTATTTGAATAGAGACATTGTGTAGATATAGTGTAAACCTAAGTAGAAGTTGCTGCAAATGTGGAATTTACAACTAGATCAATGTTGTGAATGGTTAGGGTCAAACTACAACATAGTGCCTTCTAATTTATTTTCTTATTTTAATTTTATTATCTGTGTTTGTTTCACTCATCAATTCTTTCTTGTATTAGAATATTTTTAGGAGAAGTCACTATTTAAATGTGTAAAATATGTTACTTTTTTCTGAATATTTCCTCATAAACATTCTCAAGAACAAATATTATAATTACTGCAAACTAATTCGTCAAAAGAGAAGATATTATTTTATATTTTTAAGTGTTATAATAGTACTGCAACTAACACATAATCATCTTTGATTCTCTAAGTCCTTAACTACTTGATAGTGTTCCACAAGTTAGACTGCTAGAACTGGAATTATTTTTTAAGGAAGAGTTACACCTTCTCTCCTATGTACTTATTTATCCTTTTTTTTATATCAACGTGGACCATGAATACTTATTTTATTTTTTACGTAATTTTTAATTATATTTGACACATAATAATTGTACATTTTAATGGAGTTCACTGTGAGGTCTCAATATGTGTGTACGTATGGGTGAATGGAAAGCTTCTCCTTTGCCTTCTGAAGAGTTAGTGAAAAATTAATCCATAAAAAGGCAGATTTATAAGAGGAAAGGAAAATAAATGTATTGCTATCATATGGAAGGGGAGAATCATAGAATGATTGCCTAAATTTTAGAGAAACTGTAGAGGAGAGGTAATATGGATGATTTTAGGAAGATAGTAAATGATTTTTAGGATAATTTAATGGGCTTAAAGAACATACAATGGTCTGTTGGGCCTGTTGATTTGTGACAAAAATATGTCCAGGTTTGTTGATGACTTTAGTCTTCCTCCTGTGATATGGGTTCAGTTAATAAACACTCAAGGAATGGAACACAGGTAATTGGATTTTTGTTTGTTTGTTTGTTTTTGAAGATCTGGACTTTAGGCAGATTAGGAAACTTAGCCTGTGCTTTTGAAGAGGTAGAAGATTGAGAGATATGGGGGTGAGGCAGAAGAGAAACAACTCTTCTCCTTGGTAGGTCTTCTCTGTCTTTATGTAGATAGGGAAAAGTCTGTTCTAGCACCTGTTGATCTCTAAGGGCCTGTAATTCAACATATTCATTATACCAGGGAGCCCTGTTTTGGGGTAAAACTCAGTGTGCTCCTTCATTCACATAATACAGTGACCACATCAGGGCAATTAACATATTCATTACTTTAAATATTTATCATTCCTTGTGGTGATAACATTCAAAATATTTTCTTCTTAAATACTTAATTATTTGGTTAATAATCCAATACTATTTATTTTGGACTCAAATTGTTCTGGATTTAGCCACCGGAATCTCTTTTATTCAGACTGGTTTCTGTGTCCTTCTGACAACATCCTCCCATGGTCATTTACTTCCTTACTTTCTTATTTCCCTTACTCATTTTCTTACTGCTTTTGCTCACTGTCTTCCTCTTTGGCACCATAAGAAGCTCTAGGCTCATCTTATATTTTCCCTACCCCAGCTCCAGGTTCAGCCAGTTTCTAAAGAACCCTGGTTTTATTTTATTTGAGAACAGCATTTAGAAATCAACATCTGGATGGATAGAAACGTTTTGGTGGCTCTCTGTAACAGAAGACACTCTAGCAGGATCTATAAGCACCCTTCTAATTACAGTCTTCTCAGCCTTAAATATTGTCACTTATTTATACCACTTTGGGTGAAATATCATATTGTAATTTCTTGTTTCTGTGAATCTTGGCATTATATAACATATTACTATATTTCAAAATATTATTTCTGATAATAAAATTTATTTTTTCAATAGCCCCAAATTTATCCCAGGCCATAGTTGTGGTACAAAACCCATTTTGCTTCTTTCCTTTTTATAATTAATTAGTGAATTGATTAGGTGAGCAATTTAAGACATGGTATTTATTACAATGCAGCATGTGATAAATGCTGATAGCATTTGTTGCAACATCATTTGTTAGTGATGTTATTCTTCATGTTGTATTACTTCTGGTTTTTTGTTTACATATTAGGTTCCATACCTATTTTACATCAAATTCTGGAATTTTGTTTTATAGGATTTTTATTATGTGATTTATGTTGGGATACATTTTTAAATATGGAGTAAATCAATCCTATGACTGTTTTTCTTTCATCACACTCCTTTATTTTTACAGTGTAGCTATAATTTGTGCTTGTTTTGCTGCTATATACTTAACATGGTTAAACAGATGGTCATCCGAGTTGTGCTACTTTTATTCACTTTCTTACGTTGTTCTATAACCTACAACTATTTCTCTCTCCAAGTTGCAGATTTTCCTTTTCACAGTATATTGATTTAGTAATATTTTAAATTTGTAGTTTTGAAGATTTTCTGTTTGTTTGAGAGCTGAGGTTTTATAGTATATCTTTCACTTGTTTTACAAATTTCTCTTCAGGGTAAGCGCAGATAGTGCTGAGAGACGTAAAACTATCTGTGCTGTTCTGAACAGAAAGAATAGAATAGTTATTCGAAAGTTCTACAGCTGATGTATATTTATGTGGTTTCCTAATGAACAAAGATTGTCCTTTTATTTGTGGTACACTCAAACACCTTTCTGAGTATCTGCTGTCTGTGTAGCATTACATGCCTTCAGTTTCATAAACTCCAGACTTAAAGACAAAATCAGTGAATATCAGAATCTTAGATTTTGATGTCATCTTAAAGATGATGTAATTGAACCTCCTAAAATATGTTAAGAAGCTTATCTACAATATCTCTGCCAATTTTCAAGTAGCCTATGAGGCATATCCTGAGTTATAGAAAACGATTTTTGTTTTCTAGAG